ATTAATTTATTTAATAATAAATACTGCGTCTGACTTTTGGGTAGCATTTTATTATAAAAATTAAATTTTTTTAATAATAAATGCTGTGTCCAACTTTCAGGACAGCATTTTGTTATAAAAATTAATAAAAAATTAATTTTTTATTAATAAATGCCGCTTCTGACTTTCGGGGTGACATTTTAATATTAAAAATTATTAAAAATGAATTTTTTAATAATAAATGCTGCCTCTGATTTTCGGGGCGGTATTTTAATATAAAAAATTAATAAAAATTAATTTTTTTAATAATAAATGTCGCATCTGACTTTCTTGGTGACATTTTATTATTAAACATTAATTTTTTTAATAATTTTTTATTAATAAATGTTGCCTCTGACTTTTGGGACAGCATTTTGTTATTAAAAATTAATTAAAATTAATTTTTTAATAATAAAGCTGTATCTGACTTTTAGGCAGCATTTTATTATTAAAAATTAAATTTTTTTAATAATAAATGCTGTGTTCGACTTTTGGGCAGTATTTTATTATTAAAAATTTTGATACGTCAGATACGAATACAGATTCGGATTTGTCAGATTCAGATTCAGATTCAGATTCAGATTTGTCAGATTCAGATCAAATCGGATTCAGATTTTTCAGATTCAGATTGAATTGGATTTTGCCTAAGTCTGATCTGATCTGATCTGTGTGAAACACTATTTATATTAGATAATTTGTATATTAGAAATGATAAATAAGTAGATAATTTTATAAATAACAATACCCTTATGAAATTATATAAAAGTTGAAATAAAATATATATTATAAGTAGATTTAAAGAATTTAGTGAAGTTAATCTTAATAAATTTTAAGTAAGCTGATAAATATTTTTATTAAATTAAATTTAAAAAAATAAAAACTAATAATAAATTTTTAGAATGCAATAAATGATTAGGCTAAAAGGTTTATCTGAATTTTTGAATTTATCTTCTATTCTAACCTAAAGTTTTTAAAGTTGTATTTATAGGTATATCACATTATTAATTCAATATAATTATATAATGCAATAAATGACTATACAATGGAAACTTATAAAAGCTTTCACAAGAATCATTAAATCCTCATATAGGATAAGCAATAAAAGAATATCAAAACTCAATTTTTACAAACTGTAAATATTTAATAATTTGTTATTTTTTTTATAATTAATAATAATATGATATCAAATATTAACAAATAAGATATCAGACAATATCACATATATTTTTTGACAAATAGTGATATTAACAAACTATACAACTTTTCTGAAATGCTTTTCTAATTTTCATTACAAAATGCAAATACATTTTTTAACAAAATAAAAAAAACTATCACAATGGATAATAGATTAAAAGTTGGGCTTGATAAGTTTTAGGTTATCTGAATTTTTATCTGAAATTATTTCAAAATTCAACAATTAATGAAAACTTTATAAAAATATATGAATCAGTGATTTTAGAAAATAATGCTATAATGTATACTACTAGCTAGAGGTTGGAACTGGTTATCAATATTAGATTTATAATCAGTTTTAATTAGTTTTAGATTATAACTAATTCAGAATTTTATAAATTTGATAACCCAGTTTTATTATAACCGGTTTGAACTTCCAACCGGTTATAAATCTAATATCAGTAACCAGTTCCTAAATTTAAACTAGTTATAATCTGATATCGATAACCATTTCCAACTAGTATTCTGCAAAAAATCTGATTCAATCTGACGGATTCGGATTTGGATTCAGATCTGATTTATTGGATTTGAAATAAAAAATGCCACCCTAAAGTCGGATGCAGCATTTATTATTAAAAAAATTTAATTTAATAATAAAATGCCACCCGAAAGTCAGATGCGGTATTTATTAATAAAAAAATTAATTTTTATAATAAAATGCTGTCCTGAAAGTCAGAGGTGACATTTATTATTAAAAAAATTTAATTTTTAATAATAAAATGCTGCCTGAAAGTCAGACATAGCATTTATTATTAAAAAATTAATAAAAATTAATTTTTATAACAAAATACTATTCTGAAAGTCGGACGTGATATTTATTAACAAAAAAATTAATTTTTATTAAATTTTTATATTAAAATGCTGCCCCGAATGTCAGATGTGGCATTAATTAATAAAAAATTAATTTTTATAACAAAATGCCATCCTGAAAGTCAGAGGCAGTATTTATTATTAAAAAAAATTTAATTTTTAATAATAAAATGCCACCCAAAAGTCAAATACAGCATTTATTATTAAAAAATTTAATTTTTATAATAAAATGCCGCCCAAAAGTCAGACATAGCATTTATTATTAAAAAATTAATTTTTATTAATTTTTAATAACAAAATGCCGTTCTGAAAGTCAGATGCAGCATTTATTAACAAAAAAATAATTTTTTATATTAAAATACCACCCTGAAAGTCAGACGCAGCATTTATTAATTTTTTATATAAAAATGCCGTTCCAAAAGTCAGACGCGGCAATTATTATTAAATAAATTAATTTTTAATAATAAAATTCTACCCTGAAAGTCAGATGCAGCATTTATTAATAAAAAATTTAATTTTTATTAATTTTTTATATTAAAATGCCGCCTTGAAAGTCAGACATAGCATTTATTAATAAAAAGATTAATTTTTATTAATTTTTTATATAAAAATGCTGCCCAAAAGTCAGATGCAGCAATTATTATTAAATTAATTAATTTTTAATAATAAAATTCCACTCTGAAAGTCAGATGCGACATTTAGGCCACACTAATTTGATTTTTCGTTTAACATAACCCTTCCCCTTAATTTTGAAAATTTAGTATGAATATTATATAAAATATATGGCAAATAAAATTGTTGTATTTTTGGTTATGTGATAATTTGCTGATTGCATTGATGCATTGCAGCATTGATTGCATGAATTGTATGAAAGTCATATGAAACCACAAATTTGTATAATAAATAATTGTTGGAAAAAAAAATTTTTTTACTGTCATTTCCTTTTATTTTTTTTACACATAGATGATTTTTGAATTTTTTTTATAATTAGCTTTTCTATTAAAAACTTTGTTGCTTCGGTAGCATTTGTTTGATGTTCAATATAATAAATGTTTAGATTTCTCTGAATCATTTCCTATCCATCATCAGTTAAGAATTTTTTAACATTTATTATCTTCGCCGGGATTTGATTTTAAAATTTTACTTCTTTTTTCCTGAACTCTCACATTTTCTGTAGATCATTTGCAAATTTTTTATGCTACAATATTTGTAGAGTAATCAAAATGCAACTGAAAGACCATGAGAAAGTTGTTGTTACTAAATAGATAAAGTAAACAAAGTAGACTTAAAATCAACCAGATTTGATTTTAAATATTAAAACCACCAAGACAAAGTTGAATAGGCCAATTGGAGCGATAGATTTACTTGAAATATTATAATGAAATTAACAGATTATCTTTCTGTTTATAGGTAAATAGATTTCTGAATCAGTATTTTTTGCTGTTTTCATGATTTTTCGCGTAAATAGGACCAGTTCATAAATATGCTTTATCTTTTGGTACAAGTTAACAAGAGTATTAAGTGCGTCATCCCTGAACATGCAGTAAGCATAGAATCTACAGCTAATAAGTTTAGTGACCTTTTTGGTACTGTTACGGCAAGACAATATGATAATAGAGAGGTGTAAGTTTTTGTTAGAAGAGAAAAGTCTGAAAGTTGGCGAAAAGTTGATAATAGGTTAAATAGTGATCTAAAAATGTTAGAAGTTTTTGGATTTTTGCAAATTAGATTTTGCCTCATTATCAATATAAATTCAGATACGTCAGCTTCAACTCAAAGCAAACCAAATGCTTTTAGTATTTTAAATAAAAATTCAAGGCAAACATTACTTTCTCAATATTGTATAGAATATAATAACTATAACCAACTCTATAATGAAATTATTGAACTTTTTCAAGCTCAAAATGTTGGTTAGATAGGTGGTTCACATGATACAATTGGAAAAACATTTGTAAATTAACTTACAAATGCTCTATGATATATTGATCCACATCTTTCTACATTGCGTGTGCATTTGTATCACTTGCCAGATTTTTTTACACAATTGAAGACCTATCAGAATAGTGAAACATATAACAAAACTTATCATACTAGCCATCATAAAAAAAATCTAATGTCACAATAAAGCTGTGAATGTAATTCTGATGAAATAGTTACTTATATAAATCAGCTTTATTTTTTGAAAATTTGTATAAATTTGTTTTTGTATTGTTATATTTGATGAAAGATTATTATAGGTATAGGAAAAAGTTCTAGACGTTTTAAAGATAACGTGAAATATTTTTTATAGATTTTTGTTATAAATAAAATCTTTGTTTTCTATTTTACTTCTTATTAGCTACTTTAAGTTTATTCCTACAGTTCCTTTTTATTTAGTATTTTATTGTAAGTATTTACTATTTTACAGATTACAAAAGCATTCATAAATTTCTCATAAAGATTTTTGGATTTTTAGATGATATATATTTTGATTCCTTGAAGTACCTTTGTTTCATTATAATCATAAAATAACAAAGAAAAACAATTGTATAAAAACAATTATATAATTATCATAAATTTATTTATATTCATAATAATTTCATTTTTTTTATTTTACATTTTTTTTAAATCAAGAAAATTTTCACTTTTATCATATTTTAAAATTTTTATCACTATTCTATGCTAAATTTTTGAAATTATTCACCATTTTAATGCAAAATTTTAAATAGCTAAATTATCTGAAATAATAAACTTCTTACATAATATTATTTTATTGTAGAATTCTGATTAAGGTTGCTAAATAAAATTAAGAGTTTAGATAGGCATTTAAATATAAAACTTGGTTAAATTATATTAAAATCTTATTAAAAAATCTGTAAAATTTGAAAAATGGTAAAACTATATTAAAGCTTATAAAAATGGTAAAATTATATCAAATACTTAGTAAAAATTAAAAATTAGCAAAACTAAAAATTTAAATATTTAGGTAAATCTAAAATAAGTTTAGACAAGCAACCTTAATCCCAACTATCTAAAATTTAGCTAAATGACAGCTGATGTAAGAGTTTTTAGCTTAAAAGCAAGGGCTAAAGATGTAAACTTTTTCTAAATCTTAGGCTAACACTTTAACTTAGAATTATCTGCTAACTATTAATATAGCAGTTTTGGGAAAAAATAGTTCTTATGTTTTTACCATCTACTTACTTCTATTAAAACTATCTCTCAAAAATTTAAATTTTTCATGTAAAGATTTGTGTAATATCATCATAAGCTGATCATTCTTACTAAATGACATCATTTCTGATCTTCTCCTAAATGATTAACATATTTCATAATAATATATTAGAGGATCTATAAAAATGATATGCAGAATTGATCTATTAGATGATCTGCCAAATGATTTATATATGTAACATTAGAAATACTAAACAAATATTACATAACTTATACATTTAATATATTTGATATAGCTGACATTTCTGATATTTATAACATAACTGATATAGCTACTATATTTAACATAACTGATATATTAAATATAACAAATATTTGGTATTAAAAACTTCCCTTTAGGACCGACCATATTAAAAATTTAAGAGAAATTTTTTATATGATTTCTATATACTTGGAACCGAATGAAAAAATGCATTTAGAGAGAAATTATATAGTATAAAGAATATGTTACCCACGTGATTTAATTTAACCAATTTAACCAATTATATTATTTTTAATAAAACTGCGTTAACTGTAGCACTTTTTAAAAAAAATTGCATTTAGAAATAATAAGCTTAACTAATAATCGTAGCAAAATCAAATGAGATTTATAGATCAATAAAATAAAATTTTATTTGAAATTAATGTAAAATGTCAAAATTTGTAATGTTCAATTTTTTTTATCATTTAAACTACAATTATAAAAAAATTATTAATAATTTTTGTTTGTTAAGTCTAAGCTAAATTAATTTTAAAATAATTTTTTTTTTTTTTATTTTTTTTTTTTTTTTTTACAATTCATCATGAGTTGGTGGCTCTTCATCGTCTTGTGAAGGTGGAGTTTGGTCCGCATATAATTTTGAAGTTATTGGCTTGACAATAGATTCTAATTCTTCTCGTTTTTCATCAAAATCTTCTTTCATCGCAGAATTTGAATGTTCATTTAACCAATCTTCAACTGACTTGATTGCATCTTTAATGGTTTTCTTGTCCTCGTCACTGAGTTTCTTACCAAGGTCGTTATCATCAGCGATTTGATTTTTGAGGGAGTATGCAAAGTTTTCAAGTTGATTTCTGGCTTCGATTCGTTCCTTTTGAACCTTATCCTCTTCGGCAAATTGTTCGGCTTCTTCAACCATACGATCGATCTCTTCTTTAGAGAGACGACCTTTATCATTGGTAATTGTAATCGATTCAGATTTTCCTGTGCCCTTATCAACCGCAGATACTTTCATTATACCATTGGTATCAATTTCAAAAGTAACCTCAATCTGTGGTATACCTCGTGGTGCAGGTGGTATGCCTGTCAATTCGAACTTGCCAAGTAAGTTGTTATCTTTAGTCATAGATCGTTCACCTTCGAAAACTTGAATTAATACGGTAGGTTGATTATCCGCGGCGGTTGAGAAAATTTGTGACTTCTTTGTGGGAATTACAGTATTACGAGGAATCAATTTTGTCATCACACCACCGGTCGTTTCAATACCAAGAGTAAGGGGACAAACATCAACCAAAAGAATTTCTTTGACATGTTCATCTCCAGAAAGAATACCACCTTGTACGGCGGCACCATATGCAACAGCTTCATCAGGATTGATATTTTTGGAGGCCTTTTTGCCGTTAAAGAATTCTTCAAGGAGTTGTTGAACTTTGGGAATACGGGTGGAACCACCAACAAGAACAATATCCTGTACATCCTTCTTTTCGATATTTGCATCTTTCAACACATTATCAACAGGTTTTATCGTTTTACGGAAGAGATCGTTATTAAGTTCTTCAAATTTGGCACGAGTCAAAGTTTCAGAAAAATCTTTTCCATCGTGGAATGATTCGATTTCAATACGAGTTGACATTTGGGAGGATAACGTACGCTTGGCCTTTTCGACTTCTCGTTTTAATTTACCCATGGCTTTTAAATCTGAAGTAACATCAACCTTATTCTTCTTTTTATAGACCTTAACAAAGTGATCGATAAGCCGGTTGTCGAAATCTTCACCTCCCAAGTGAGTATCGCCAGCAGTTGACAATACTTCAAAAACACCATCATCGATCGACAAGAGGGAGACATCAAAGGTACCACCACCAAGATCATAGACTAAAATTTGACGTTCACCATCGGATTTATCAAGACCATATGCAATTGCAGCGGCTGTAGGTTCATTTACAATACGGAGGACATTAAGACCAGCAATTGTGCCAGCATCCTTTGTAGCTTGTCTTTGAGCGTCATTAAAATAAGCTGGAACCGTAACTACCGCATGTGTGACTTTCTTGCCTAAATATGATTCGGCAATTTCTTTCATTTTACCAAGAACCATGGCCGAAATTTCTTCTGGTGTAAATACTTTTTCTTCACCTTTTACTGTGACTTGAATAGCTGGTTTACCGTCCTTGTCAATAACCTTAAATGGAAAGTGTTTAATATCTTGTTGAACTTCTTTGTCGGAAAAGCGACGACCAATCAATCGTTTGGCGTCAAAAATGGTGTTTTGAGGGTTGTTGGCAAACTGATTTTTTGCTGCATCACCGACTAGACGTTCATCATCGGTAAAGGCAACGTACGAAGGTGTGATACGATTACCCTGGTCATTGGCTAATATTTCAACTCTTCCATTTACGTGAACACCAACACAAGAATAGGTCGTACCTAAATCTATACCGATAACTGTGGTTTTATAAAATTTTTATTAGCGATCAGAGTTGAAGCGCAAAATCATTTAAATCATTTAAAAAATTGATGATGATGTTTAAAGAACATCCTTTTCAATATTTCAATATCCAACCAAATACATTCAAGAATCATTAACGAATATATACCTGTACCAAGATCAGGTTTTTCATCAGCAACTACTATTGCAATAGGAATGGCTATTAACAGTGAACATAGCACTGCAATGAATTTGAAGAAAGTTACTTTCTTCATTTTAACGTGTCCTATGGGAGGAGTTTATAAAAAAAGTGACCGATCTGAATATTGCGAAGAAAGGAAAAAAAAAAAGGTTGGGATAGGAAAACTTAATTATAAAAATTTGAACGATAGAAAGTCAAGACGATACACCTTTTATATCAATAAAAAAAAATCTCTCAAAATCTTTCAAAGCGTTGGCAATATCTTATTGGATAGAGATGATTTAATGGGATTTTTTTTTTGGTTGTCAATTAATTATTGGACAATCAATGTTAATCAATTATGCGTGTATGATGTAGTTGCATTTATGTAATACTAACTACGTGTCAAAATATGGTTTATTTATTTAAAATGAAGTTAAACAATTTCCATTTCATCAACCATTATTTCGCCACGTGTAACTGAATTAACAATTTCACGACGAATTTCTGGTGTTATAAGATCGTGAGATTTCACCTTTAATACATCAAGAAGCGCACTTTTTTGTTCGGGTGTTAAATCTTGTTTATACCTGTGTAAATCGAAAATACAGATTCATAAGGAAAAAAAAATATTTAAAAGAAGATAAACGAAATAATATTCTTTAAATACCTCTGCGCAAAAACCAAGAATGATTGATGCCATAGTACCGGCATGGTTCTTTCATCATTTTTGAACCGCATAAAGTGAAAAACTAGCGCGTCTACCACCTTGTAAGGTAACGCGTATTTTTTATCAAGCAATATCCGAATAAATAGACTATTTGATCCCGAATATTCCATCTCAGCGAGTCGTAACAATCCAGCAGAAGAATGAAGCATAGGTATGCTTACTTTTGAGATTACGCTACCAATGATAACTGCCTCTTTTAAAGTGCAAGAACCAGACTATAAATACAAACGTGTAATTAATATGGTATAATTTTTTTTTAAAGAAAAAATCCATCCTTTCTTACTTCACATAAAGGAAATAAGATTCCTTTAAAAAATGCGGCCGGTTTATATAAAGCTTTTTTGAGAGCCATATATAAATGGTAATTGAGCTTTTTGTTCTCTTGAATGTCATCTCGAACTTTTTCGAGTAGGACGAGGTCAAAAAATCTAATGCAATAAATGATAAAGTATTAAGTATTGCGTCTATATTAAACCGCGTTCGATCCATTTACCTTTGCGTTTGTTTTGCCTTAAGATTTGAAACAAAAATTCGGGTGGCCTGAAAAGTCGCATGTGGAGTCCAATTTTCGGGATGTGTAAGGCACAAAATGTCTTCCCAATTGGATAAAGATGGGATGATTTTGAAAGCTTTTGGAAGCTTACCCGACTTATACCGACTTAAAAGGGTGCCAACTCTATCGATATATTTGCAGGTTTGTTAATTTATTTATGAATTTTATTATTATCAAATAGTTTACATACTCACATACATACTTTGTATAAACTTCGACGACTTTTGGACTTATAGCTGGGGATTGAGATGCTGTAGACAATATATATGATATATGAGTTATACTATTATAACTTTTATCGTGTATAAAATAAATTACCTGAAGTAGTATCATCGTCCTTGGCAATATTTCGTGATTCGATCTTTTCCATAATCAAATCCGCCAAAGTTTTTCTTTCTTTTGGAGCATTTGGCAAAAACTTCTCTAGAATTACCTGATCCCCTTCATCGATTTCCTATTCAGTATAATTTAGTAATGAATGAATTAAATGTGTGTGAAATATATATAAACAGTAAATGATAATTACCAATTCTTCATATTCAAAAATTTCTTCTTCATCAGAATAATCTTCTTCTTCACTTTCGTTTTCAATTATTGAAGAAAATAATTTACTTTGATCATCCTTGCTATTTTACATTAAAAAAATTGGTTAATTTTTACAGTCAATATGAAGAACTTGACGACGACATTCCATTCTTACTTGATTTGACTTTTATCTAAATTATTCTCTTCTTCAAGCTCTTCCTGTTGCTCTCTTGCAATTGTGAGAATTTTCCGAGAAAGACTCGGTTCAACATATTCCTAATAGGGATCCAAAAAATCGTTATTAACTTTAAAAAAAAAACTTAGATAAATAAAAGCTTAATACATCGTCTTTTTCTTGATTTCGTCTTGAAGTTTTTATTTTGAAATTTTTTCTACCGTGGTTTTTATCTTCTAATAGCTGAACATGTAGAGGATTATGGCGTTCTTTTTTGACAGCTCGTTCTTTTCCCATATTGTTTCTGACGAAAATTTTCTAAAAAAAAAAAAAAAATTTTTGATAAGATCTGGTTTTTGACGTGTAACGTAGACTCGGAGAAAGATGCTGTATTAAAATAAGTTTAAAATAGCGATTCAAAGAAATTTCTACTTTCGATAATCTGCTGCATTCATGATCGTAACGTAATGTCTGCTAGAGGGCTTATGACTTTGCACCAGAGACTAGGCGCAAAAGTCACGATCCATTTGACTGTATCGAATCTATTGGCTTCAACTTCACCTCAGCAAAAAGTTTGTAACTCGGTTAGTGTTTATTATTTTTTTTAAATTACTTTCCTAATATTTCTCGTCTCTTTCATAACAGTTTATATTTTGATGCGTTGCGAAGCAGCTTTTGCATACGAGAGCGTTACACCAATTTGTTTACAAAAAAACAAATATCGGTTCAACGACAATTTATTCGAAAAATGCTGAATGTTGGAAACGATACTGGAAGCGTGGGCAAACCCAACCTATTTATAATGTAGTTATGATTATATAACAATAAACTTGAACTGTTATTTTCCTATTTTGAGAATTTTTAATTGAATCTTAATTCATATTTATATAGCCGACATGGAACATTCGTCAATTAGTTAATAAGTCTCATACAACCCTACCAAAAGAATTCACAAAACCTACAGTTATTGAAAATACTACCAAAGTAAACAAGGATTGGAAAATAATTAAGAATATATTAGGTAAAAATGGCTGTATTTAAGAATTAAGGTCATTATTAGTATGGGTTTTAGCAAAGTCCATCAAATCGGATCAGAATCGATCATAATAAAAATTGAAATTATAGAGGGGTATTAAAATATTACATGTTTTAAAGGTCCTAAATTTCGCAATGTTCGTACTATAATTGTTCACAGTAATGTAATAAATCACAATATATCGCATAAAGGGAACATCAAGGAATTAAGATTATAATCATAATATTAAGGAATTTAAGGATATCATCTTTTCTAATAGGTTACATATGGCCGAGAGATGAACCAGCTATCAAAGTTCGTGTGATTGCCGCCTTATCACTGTTAATTGCAGGAAAAGTATGTCGTCTTAACAACGATAAATTTCTGATTAAGGGATTTAGTTATATGCTTGAATTAATTTTCATATTACCTTTTTAATATTTAGTTGCTTAATGTACAAGTTCCATTTTTTTTTAAAAATATCGTTGATTCTTTAAATGTTGATGTAACTCAATTCGGAACAGTATGGACTATTGTTGGTTCAGTGATAATTGGATGTAAGTGTAAAATATTATATATTTATTCATCCTTTTATTTTGTTTTTTCATATCAATTCTATTTCATAGATGGTGCGGCTCGTATTGGAGCGGCTGTATTTCAGGAATTAAGGAATGCAATCTTCGCCAATGTAGCCCAAAAGGCTATTCGTAAGGTTGCTAGGAATGTGTTTAATCACTTACATCAACTTGATTTAAATTTCCATTTGTCACGTCAAACTGGTGGTTTAAGTAGGGCGATTGATCGTGGAACGAAGTATGATAGATTATCTAATTTTATTCATAAACAATAGCAAATCATTATTATTAACCTTCGAATTTGTTGATCCAATCATTAGAGGTATAAGCTTTTTGCTTTCTTCTCTTGTTTTTCATGTATTGCCTACCGCATTGGAAATATCCATCGTGTGTGGTATTTTGGTGAGTATTTATTATTTTTATTATATTATTTTTTTAAAAAAAAATATAGATTATTATATCCATCTGTATATTTAATTATACAAATTGATTCTTGTTTAGGTTTATAACTTCGGTACGCGCTATGCAGCGGTTACAGCACTTACATTATTAACTTATACCGTTTTCACTATTCAAACAACTTCATGGCGGTAAAGTTTTACACAATGTTTATTAATATATATATATATATATATAATATTGGGTTTGAAAATATTTAATACTTATTATTTTTTTATTACAGAACAAAATTTAGAAGAAAGGCCAATCAGGCTGATAATGAAGCTGCTACGGTTGCGGTTGATTCCTTGATTAACTATGAAGCCGTAAAGTACTTTAACAATGAGAAATTTGAAGTGGAACAATATGATAATGCTTTAAAGAAATATGAGAAAGCATCTCTTAAAATTGCGACCTCCCTTAGCTTCCTCAATTCGGGTCAAAATATGATATTTAGTAGTGCATTGACCGCCATGATGTATTTGGCTGCTCAGGGGATTGTTTCAGGTATCTCATGAAATTTGTTAATTAATTTGTTTAGTTGGACATATTTCAGTATTTGTTAACAAACTATACAATGCTTATGATTTTAAGGAAGTCTCACGATTGGTGATTTGGTAATGGTTAATCAACTCGTATTTCAATTATCTTTCCCTCTTAATTTTCTCGGCTCCGTATATAGGGAACTTCGTCAAAGTTTGATTGATATGGAAGTTATGTTCAATTTACAAGGAGTGGAAGTTTCAATTAAGGTATTTGCATGATAATTGATTTTATTTTAATTAGGATATGTAATCAAAATTTTATATATTAAATTTAATTTACATTTAATTATAGGATTCACCTAACGCAAAACCTTTAATACTCAAAGGTGGCGAAATAAAGTTTGAAGATGTTGTATTTGGATATCATCCCGATCGTCCAATTTTGAATGGAATAAGTTTTACTATACCAAGAGGAAAGAAAGTTGCGATCGTCGGACCAAGTGGATGTGGGTAAGTCTTGGAACATCATTTCTATATAGACTAAAGCAACGCCGTACCTTTTTTTTTCTTCGAATCAAAAAAATGCTTAACTCGTCATTAAGGACTAGTTCCTGATTAATGATTCTTGATTAGGATAACTTATACATTTGCCGATTTGTTCATAATGGCACTTTTCATTTCCTTTTAATTAAAATTTTTCCTTTTTTTTTTTTTTTTTTTTTAAGAAAGTCAACCATACTCCGATTACTTTTCCGTTTTTACGACCCACAAAATGGTAATATATATATCGACGGACAAAATATTAAAGATGTAAAGTTAGAAAGTTTAAGAGCGAACATCGGTGTTGTGCCACAGGTAATGTAATTTAACATATTTGAATTATTTTATTAATTAATCAAATAAATTAATTAACAAAAATCTTGATTTTTTCTCTTGTAGGATACGTCTCTTTTTAACAATACGATTTATCATAACATTGCTTATGGTCAAATGACGGCTGATCGTGAAAAGGTTGAATCCGCAGCCAAACGTGCGCGTATACATGACGTTATTATGTCATTGCCAAAAAAATATGAAACACGAGTAGGTGAACGTGGATTGATGATCTCTGGTGGTGAAAAGCAGAGGGTTGCACTAGCCAGAACAATTTTGAAAGATCCTCCAATAATATTCTTTGATGAGGCAACATCTGCTTTAGATACGCACACCGAACAATCACTTCTATCTAATATACGGAGTTTCCTTCAGGGAAGTAACAAAACCAGCATGTTTGTCGCACATCGTTTAAGATCTATTGCTGATGCTGGTATGTAATTTTCAAAATAAGCAAAGATGACATGTATACATATATTTTTGTAAATTAAATGTAATAATGATTATTTATTTTATATTTTAATACCAAGATGTGATAATCGTGTTAAGGGATGGAGTTATAATTGAACAAGGAACCCATGATATTCTTGTTCAATATGATGGAATCTATCGAGATATGTGGTTCACACAAGAAATGGCCGATCCCGCTTTTGATGAGGAGGAGGAAGAATTCTCGAGGAAGTTAAATGAATTATAATTACAAAAATGTTACTTTCTTTTTATCAGTAATTTATTATGTAAATATTTAACAAAAAAAAAAAAAAAAAAAGCATAATATACAAAGATCTAAATTATGTTCGATTATTATAATTGAGGTTTCGCTTCATTTTAAAAATTTTCAAACAATTTATGTTCGATTATAATAATTGAGGTTTCGCATCAATTTTTCCCTCCATTTTAAAAATTTCCAAACTATTAAAATATAAATGACCGTGATCTCAACTCTCACAGCGACCCAACGCCAATTCATGACATTTCTCCAATCTTTGATCAATGAATCTAATTTCAACAACCAATTGTTTTTGTTTCCCCATATTCCTTCATTTGCCTTTTCCTTTTCTAATAAATCCTTTTGAATAACTTTAAAAATTATTTCTCCACGACATATCGGACAAGTAGGTGCTGGTCTTAATAAGTTTGCATTGGTCAATCTTATATTTAAATTTTGCAAAGCTAAACGCGATACGAAACCCGTATTCCCCATCGTATACCATTTAAGCATACAATTTCGATGTGCCACATGATGAGGAACTTTACAGTAATTTTCTAATGTACTCTCGCATAAATTATCAACATCATCCTGATCAGAATAAAAAGATGATGATCCGTCCCCGATTCCAATTCCATAACAAACGCAACAATCATCATCTTTTGTACCCTCCAAAACTGGTCGTCCTTTAATAATTAAACGCATGGAATCATCAACACGCATAAAGTGCCTTAAAATAAAGAAATGAATAAACTCTTCTATGAAAAATGTTGGTAAATAGCTCCAAAGTAATGCGGGTATTAAAGCAACAAGTGATGGAAGTGGAGTAGTATGTGGAGAAGGAAGAGACTATGATGAAAAAATATAAATAATTTTAATTAATTGGAGAGTAATCGAATTATATCTAATATAAATATCTAATATAAAGGTGATTTTAAATAATATTTTAATTAAAATTTTTTTACCTTAAACTTGAGCCATCGCAAAAGTAGGTATACAATCTGAAATGATAAATATCATACACAATGTGATAATAGTCGAATAATATAACCCAAATAATCACTTAATAGTCATTGTTTTATTTCATTTTGATTATCAAAATTTCACATTTATCATTGATCACAAAAAAAAAAAAAAATGCAGTTTGATCATGACTCAAGGATTATATTATTAAAAAAAAAAAAGAAATAAAGAAAGAAAAATCTAAAATGACCATAAAATCCTACCAACATATGCCAGCACGCCAGTATCTTTTTTTCATCTTCAGCAAGTTTTTTACGAAATATCAAAGGCATGCCACTACGCGAATTGTAAAGCATTAAGTATGCTATTTATCAAACAAAAAAAAAGAAGTTAGAACAAAGTAAATTAAATAAAATATTTCCTCATAAATACCTTTAGTCCAAGAGCTACAAGCCCAGGAGATGGAAATAATAAACTTAACATATTCAGATGGATATTTGAGTGAGGAGAACATTGAATTTTTCCAGGTAAAAAATCTCGATCCGAAATAAATTAATGTTTGAAGTTATGAACACGTGATATCAATTACAAAATACTGCGGATGATGATAAAAGGCGCGAGTAAATCCTGATTCACTCGATTCTTTTAGTTTGCAAAAATGTCTAATTCAAAAACGAAGAAACTCACTGATCAGGGTATGCATTCCAATTTATTTATGACATTCAGATTACTCTCTCTTCAGCATTTTATACTGAGACAATTTTATTAAACAGAAATAACAGCCCAATTTAATGCTATGAAAACAGAGCTACAGAGCATAGCTCAAAAAATTGGAGAGTTAGAATCCGAATCTGACGAACATAAGTAAGAACAAATTTTTTTTTCTTAAGGAAACTTTCTTGTTAAATATTACTTCTCTGTTTGAAATTATACGCGTACATTATTTTATTTAATTCGGGACATCCACATTACTTAGGGCAGTTATAGATACATTATCTCCTTTGAATGATGATCGAAAATGTTTCCGTTTAGTTAACGGAGTATTACTCGAACGTACTGTGAAAGATGTTTTACCTGCTTTGCAAACAAATTATGATGGGGTAATTTGATACATAATATATATATAGATTAAATTTCTATATGACAATATCTAACCTTTTAAAAATATTTCTTATAATAGATTAAGGGCATAATGGATAATCTTGTTCGTTCTTACAAAACCAAGGAAGATGAATTTATCGCATTCCAAAAAGAACATAACATAAAAGTAATTTCGAGGTCATAACAAAATCCAAATTATTATATTGCATTTTTTTCCCCCTTAATTTGACAGGAAAAATATATTTAACAAGTTCAGAGTAATAAAAATATAAAAGAAATATATATATGTATTAGCCAGTTATCTCCATAATTCTTGATCTAGATTTATCGGCCAATAGTTTGGCAGTTTTAGCCGTAACTATTATAGGTAGAATATAAATGGTGTAAATCAAAGAAACTACGACTGAAAATAAAATTGTAATATCTTCGTAAACCGTTACAACTAACAAAAATAAAGAAATAAAAAATACATTATTAAAAATGAAAAGTGACAATATTTTAACGGTAAATTATAAAAACCGACCTCTATCAAAAATTATACTTGGAAACGAGTTGATTGGGAGGTTTCTTGTATCATAGAATAAAGATCCTCTAGGCTTTTTAGCAATCCCCATATGTTTTCAAAATTTAGGTTAAATAACATCCCATATAATAAAGCCAAGATCGAAAATTTTGCCAATGTAAATATAAAACTTTCATTGGATTTATTATTCGTATTTAACTGACTCACCTTTTGTTGTTGCTTCCTTTATAATATAAAAGAAATTTAATAGAGCCATTTTAAAGATTTTAAATTAATCAATAAATATTACATATATACTCACGAATGTTTTTCTTCTAGCCTGTTTTTCAAGTTTTTAATTTCTGATTCTTGTGATGAAAATTTGACAGATAATTCACGCATCAATTGTTCAACTTTAGATATATGTTCATGTTGAAGTTGTTGCACATTTTTCATCGATTTAAATGAGGGTAAAATAGACAATTTAGAAGATTGGGTTTTGATTCTTTCTTCATAGTCAGCATTTATGGTGAGTAAAGACTTATTGGTAATTTTAAGATCAAGAAGCTTTTATTGGATAAGTAAACAAAGTTAATCTATGAATAAACAATAAATATAAAAACTCATTTAATAAAAACAAAAAAAAAATACCTTTCTTCGAACTTTTGGATCAGACATACTTTACAAATTCTCGGTCTTTTTTACATTCATATTTTATGTTGAACATCTTCACTTAATTTTGTCGATCACTGCCGTTTATTTCGGACATTATTCGTCACATGTTATTTCCGCGAAGCCATTTTGGATTTTGAATTGACCAATCAAATCAAAGAAAATTTTAGATGATTGATCAACTTTTTTTTTCTCAAATGTCGAGGAGATCGATAAATATCGCAAGTATCATTCGAAGGCCAGGTGGGAAGAAGCAAAGTCAGTCAAATTACTATTTGCTATTTTTCAGAGCTAATTGCAAACTGTTATTTTATAGCCAAGGTTACCATATGAGCTTGTGAATGATGTTTCATACGATAAATTCATTGGAATTCATGACAAGCCGCATCGAATGGATCAATAGGTGACTTGTTATTTCGAATATGATGTTTCTAAAGACATAATTCGTACCATTTGACGCGGATCGTCATGACGATTCCAACGAGTTATAATTCATCTTTTAACGTTCACAGGATAACGAAACGTCTTGGTGTTAGAATTGAAATTAGTATAATATTGTTTTCTAATGTGAATTTATTTCAAGTGTAAGATAAATTTGATAATAAAATTTCAAAAATTTCAGTAATAGCAAAAAAAATTAAATATTACAAAATACCATATATTTTTTATTACAGTATATAAAGTGATTTAAGTAGCTTGGCTTTCATTCGTTGAATAACAGATAAGCATAATATCCATGGTTGATGAAATGGAAAAATGGAACTGTCTTGTAATTCTTGTAATTGAAATTCTTTTAACATTTCATAACATTAAATGTAAGAAATACTCAGATATATATTCTTTATTATAGAATATCTTATAAGTGATTTAATACTATTAGGTATAATATTTTTCTATCTTGTAAATAAATAACAAAATCATTATAATACCTAGCGTATTATGTATAATAAACCAATTACTATATTGGAAGGATATAGAAAACCGCAAAATAGTAAAAATAAAGATCATTAATACTTTTTATATTATTAATTTTTAATTAATTCAATTTTAATAAATAATATTTAAATTTTCTATATTAAAAAAAATAAATTTCTTTTTTTAAAAATTAACAGATAAATAATTTTTGAATTATTATTTAGTATTTAAGTATTAATTAATTTTATATTATCATTAAAGATAAAGCTGTAATTAATATTAAAAATTTAACTAGTTGCAACTATTTATGAATTTTTATATTAAAATAAATTTTATAAGAAGTTGAAACTCAAGTTGCAACTTATCGAGTTGCAACTTTTTAATTATAGTATCATCTTTAATTATCATAAAACATAAATAATACTTAGATCTTAATTATAGGAGTATTATTTTTAAGGGTATTATATGCAATAGCAATGATACTACAGTTTCTAGTGAAAATAATGACAGATACAATTTGAAATTGTATGTAAAAACTTTATTATTTAAATACAATTTTTTTTAATTAATTACTGATACAAACAAAATAATTTTATTAATTAATTAATATTTTATGTGACTTTCTTTTGCATCAATACATGATTTAATCCAGTATGTCATATTATTAATGTATCTAAGTAACATACTATTATTAAGATTATTTCATTCCTACTATAATGTGATAAAAAATATATACTAGATAATACTCTTATAAAAGTGTTATCCAGTTGCACTAGATTGTTACCTAGTTACTGTTAGACTATTACTTAGTTACTATTTTCAGTGTTCTATAACCTTTTTATTACTTTGTAGCTATCTGCTTGTTTTTATTGTTCTGTGATCTTTTTGTTACTTTGTGGCTATCTGATTGGTATCAACCTCCTGCATCTGAATGGATGTCAAATTCTATTTTGGGATTATTGGCCTTCTGTGACTTTTAGATTCTTAGTTTTATGATGAGGATGCTAGCTTAATGGATTCTCAATTCTATATTAAGGTGCTTACCCTTTATGCTTGCTTGATTGCCAGTTTAAATACTAAATTGTAGTAAAAAAATGTGTCAGTGGTGTAGTAAATTTGTGGTTAATTTAGCCGATTCTATGCCATAATTTCAGTCAGTTTTAAGATATAACTTTAGCTGATCTTTAGAGCACATGATTTGAGTATCCAACTTAGCATTATGGTAGCATTATGAAGTTGGTAAAAACTAACAAGAAGCTTGAATAGTTCTATTAATTTATTACTTTTATGCCAGCTTAGATGTTGAACTTACTTGCTAGGGTTCCTCAAAATCAAATCGAATCAAATATTTAAGTAATTTGAATTTGATTTAATTTTTTCAAATCAAATCAAATCAAATCAAATAAATATTTGATCGAATCAAATCAAATATTCAAATATCAAATAGAATTGCGAAACTCTATTACTTGCAATCCTACCTTCATATTCTCATTTGATTGTTGAATTGAGGCATGGAATGCTGAACTTAAAATCTATATATTTTTCCTCTTGATTGCCATTTCTTGATTGTTAGATGAGATACAAAATGCTGAACTTGCAATTCATATATTTTTCTCTTAATTGTTATTTCTTAATTGCCAGATGAGACACGAAGTGCTGAACTTGCAATCCATATATTTTCCATTTTTTAATTATCAGGTGAGACATAAAATACTGAATCAGTTCAGGTTTCATGACTTTCATACTCTTTTTTTCTTGTATTTTCCTGAATTTTTCTGCCTTTCTGTCTTCTTTCTTGCCTATTATCGGTAGTATCCAAAAGCATAATTCTTATTTACTTTCTATATAATTCTACTTTTAGATGCTACTAAATCTATATCTTATTTTATGTTCCTACTTTTCTAGAACTTTTCTTATATAGTTGTTACTTTGGGATACTTCTATACCTGATTACTTTGGATTATTACTATATCGATTACTTTTGGATACTACCACTGATCCAATACTTTACTAGTAAATTTTACCTTTAAGTATTACTAAAAGTTTACTTTATTTTTCGTTTTTATATTCCTAAAACTTTTTCTAGTATAGTTAATACTTTTGGGTACTACCATATTGATTACTTTTAGATATTACGATTAACCTAATAGTTTGATACTGCAAAAAGATAAGCCAATTGTTAAGTGAAATATTTTCTCTTATACCTTCAACACTGCAAAAGATTTTTGATCAAAGGAGATGAATATGGCTTTTTTTATTTGAAGTTTTTGATTTTCTATATAGTTTTATACTTTATTATCATATTATTATCATGCTACTTGCATAAAAAAAATTCGAACCTAATCTTGAAGAAATAAATAAAGCAATAAAGCTCTTTTCAAGTATAGCAGACCTTAATTTTAAGCTGGGCTATAATGATCATCTGTATTTTTAATATTTGTCTAATAGTAAAAATGCTATCGCTCTTCTAGATGTCTATCATTCTGAAGAGATTTTTGATAAATATATAATTCGAATAGCAGATAAGAGCTTTATAATTGTTAATCACTCATCTGAAGTTTATGGGATTCCTGATACTCATGAGTGCATTGACGGAAATCTGCTTCTTTATCTTGTTCTAAATATTGATGTGAGGTAAAAGCCTAATCCCACTTCCACTAAAGTTACTGGAAATATTTTTTTTTTTACTTATGCAATACTAGTAGCATAGTTTAATTCTACTTCTAGACTAGCATTCTGGATTTGCATATATTCAGATCAATTCTTCTACGCCTATAAAATTCAATATCATAATGAAACTGATACCAAAGCTTTATTCTATACCCAGAGGCATAAAGAAAAATGTTTAGCTAGAGTTAGTAGTAATTCTAACATTTATTTATGGACATATAAGAAAAATCATCAATAGGAGGCGCCATATAAAAATATGAAACAAAATCACAAATAGTGTAATATTTGCCCCAATATATTAGAAAGAACATGTCGCTATATATTTAAAAAATTTATTACATAAAAATTTTCATCTTGAAAACCTAAATTCTTAGAGGGTTTACACTTAATTGAATATAATGAAGAGCTAGGTTTGGCCTTTGAATATAGTGATAACCAATATTACCAAATAGTGCCTTTTTTTATCTGCAAGATCAAATAAATTTAGATGCGCATATTTGATATGACTGGAAAAAAAAGGCATTATGTTATAAAAAAAGAGTAATCCTTATTACAATACCCTATTGTGTCATTGACTTAGAAACATTTAAAAGAACTGCTTTAAGTGCATTCAGTTAACTTCTGATAAGACCCACCTAGGCAGAAGCATTAGCTTTTCTTTAATATACATTAATTATTCTCTCATAAATGAATGTTAAGGTCCTGAATTATCTAAATAATATAAAACAGGCATCAGAGGATTCTTTTTAACAACAATTCTTCAGATTTTATATAGGCTAAGGAACCATATTAGATCTATTATCTTATGTCATTTGAAAGGATCATTTTCTCATTCTCTCTTAGTAAGTAAGAATCAGACAGTAGTACCCTTTAGTAGTTGAGGTTTATTGGATGATTATATTTTATTGATAGTTTGAAATATATCTGGTTAAGTTTTGTGACATCATTAAGGCTCATTCCAATTAATTGAGTAGGAATAACATTTATATTATAAATAATCCTCCTCGTAAATCGTTCACATTCTCTACAGCATTTGCTGGTAGGTAAGAGAAACTCAACAGCATACTGGTTTTTAAAACTTTAAATTTGAATATTCTGACATAATGGTCAATAAAGGCTAAGCTAGTATGTCTGAAACATGCTATAATTCTTCAGATTTTAACACCATGCTTATTCATTAATAAAGTTATATATTTTATAAACTTAATGCCTTTATCACATTATAGTTTTCGAGGTCAGTTAAGAAATTTGTCATAATTATCATAAATACTTTTAAAAGTTTCTGTGACTTTTTTACTACTTTTTGATATTAAAAAATAAAATCTTTATATTCAGTTACACAGTCTATAACCAACAATACATAGTAAAAGATTGGATCATCATCTAATAAATCTATATTTATATCATCATATAGTATTTCGATCAAATCACACTGGTATACAGAATTCAGTTTTGTAATTCTAGAATAGCTAGCATAAGGTATATACTTAGGTGAAGGACAAAAGATTTGATATATTGCTTGAGCATTAAGCTATTTTTTTACATCAGTAAATAGGATGGTATGTTCAGTTTTTTTACATACATCCTATAATCCCTTAATATTTTGGTAAAGGTTTTCAGGTTAATAATACAGCTTCTGTAAGGCAAGATTTCAGTTAAGATTATGCACTTTTTGAGGATTGATATAAATCAAGGGTTCTCACATTTTGAATCTTTTTTATAATAACAAAAAAAAAGAGTGACATTTCACAGACTTCATCCAAAGCAGAGAAGAATATGTGAAGAGTATAAAGCTGAGTTGAAAGAGGATAACTATCATTTTCAGATGTATTATAGACAGAGGTAGAAAATAATTGCCTGAATGAGAAATGGTTTAATCAACTGGAGCATGAATATAACAAGTGTGAACAAGAAATTTAAGATCTTAATAAAGACATAAGCATTTTAAGAATGCTTTAGAAGAAGAGATAATAGAGCTAAGATTTAAAATCTCTGATCTAAAAAGTAAGCTATATCAAGCTAAAAAAGATGTGCAAGATAAGGAAAAATATGTCTTTAGTTTAGAAAAGCAGTTAGTAGAATCTAAGAAGCAGGTAGAAAAATTGTAATGTCAGATTAGAACTATCTCATCACGAAAAAATTAGTCAGAATGAGGGAATTCTTCAGACTTGTATAATTCTGATGATAATATGGCTATAATCACAAAGCTAACAAACGCTATACAGTCAAACCTCTATATAATGATATATCGGGACATATAGAAATTTTTTTAAAAATATCATTATATAAAATTATACTGATATTTATATGACCTCAAGTAAAGATGGTACAGCAATTGATTTCAAATTTACAAAATATTGCAATATAAGCTAAAATTAGTTGCAACATATATAGGTTAAAACTAATTGCAACGTAAGTTGCAACATTAAAAGTTGCAATATATTAATTACAGTTTTCATCTTTAACCTCAAGTATAATAGGTAAATAAAATTTTATTAGTATATAAAGTTTTTAATAGTATATCGGTATATAGAAGTCTGACTGTAGATGCCATATAAAAACACATTATTCATAAATTATATATAAAAAAACAGTATTTTGAACATATTTTATTCAAAAATCCAGTATTTGTTAGTAATTTAAACATAAATTTATTGTACTTAATTTTAAGTATACATAAATTGTATACTAAATATCAACATATTTTAACTAATATATAAAAATTATACATAATATGATCAATTAATGTATCAAGACATGAAATAAACATCATTAAACAAATACTAGTATTAAAAAATTCTATAAGTTATATTCTTCATCCAATTTCTCATTGAATTCCTTATCTATCATATAATACGTATTTCTAAATTGAAAAAACCTACACAATGATTTATAGCAGATAAATCAATAAATTCATATGCATCATATTTTTGAAATGAAATAAGCCTTATATTGTCCTCTATAATATTAGCAGCCCAATGAACATATGCTAATATATAAGTTTGCTAAGTTTGCTCTTCAAATTCATAAACCAGATAATATTCAACTTGTCCATAAAAATCTTGTAATATATATTCAGTTGTTTTTTGAGAAAATGAAGCCCATTTATTCACTTTCATAATTGCCTATAAATAGTATTAAATAAATAACAAATAATAAATCTTTTACGAATCAGTAACATACTAATACTGAGTAATTAACGCTAGACCAATCATTATTTCGTCTTATCCATTTTGATGACCTTTTTTTGTATGTAAACGTTTGTATTTTATACCAAATGAAGAAAAAGTCTATATAATATTATACTAAATATAGGATATATTAGCCATTCTGTGACCAGATGCATATAATTCAAAATAGATTAAAAATTACATTCAATTTTCGACTTCTGACATTGTAAGATACAGAAAAATGTTCTTTAATCTTCCTTAATTCTAAATGACTAAGAGTATGCCTTTTTGAAGGAAAATATAACTCCTCTTCGGTATTAGGTTGAGAATATGCAAGGTGATTTAGATAATATTTGGAGACTTGAGAAGGAAAGATAGTCACATATGCAACTTGGTAATATTGTAGATGGTTAAACATTTCCTATATATGTACATTATTGATTATATTTTTATAAGGATGTAATTGTGATCGGGCCAAAGGAAGTAACATTCCACAAATTCTCTCCATAGGAAACTGTCATGTAGCCCAACATGGACCTGTATTTTCTATACTATCAGCTAGGGTTCTACAATTCGATTTGATATTTGAATATTTGATTTGAAAATCAAATCAAATACAAATACAAATTTATATTTAATTCAATT